GCACCCCCTGGTGTCTGTTATTAGTTCACTGTGGTTAACCGAAAATGAAACATATCTGCTCGCTGTATGTTCGTCTTTTTAACATCATCCACCCATCTATCCATTTTCGGTCACTTATTCAGGGTCAGGTCGCAGAGGCAGCAGCCTAAGCAGGGAGGCCCAGACTTCCCTTTCCCCAGCAACTTGGGCCAGCTCCTCCAGGGGAATCCTAAGGCGTTCCCTGGCCAGCCGTGAGACATAGTCTCAACAGCGTGTCCTGGGTCTTCCTTTAGGCCTTCTCCCAGTTGGATGTGCCTGGAAAGCCTCACCAGGGAGGCGTCCTGGAGACATTCTAATTAGATGCCTGAGCCACCTCAACTGGCTCCTCTTGATGTGGAGGAGCAGTGGGTCTACTCCGAGCCCCTTCCAGATTGCTGCACTTCTCACCTTATTTTTTAAACCTTAAGCCTAATGTATACTTCTCCGTCAGCTCCACAAGGGAGAGATGCTCTTAGACTTCTCCGTCAGCTGGAGATTGTTGCAAAGCAATTCCCTGCCAGGACAACAGAGGGCGCAGTGCTGTTCTGGGATACCCTGTCACCCTTACAGTCACGCATATGGTGCAAGATTGTGCATTTACTATTGTGTTTACATTGTTCTTCACGCAATCAGCACCTCTAAACTCACGTTTCTCGTAATTTCCGTCCACGAATAAAACGCTTGCTGAATATCTTTGTATTCCTTCAGTCATGGGCAAATAAACATTCATATTTTCAGACCTTTTCCCCGATGTGTTCTTCAACTTGTTCCATGTCTGCAGCTCAATATCTGTTTACTTTTTGAAAGAGCAAATGCGTAGCTGTCGTCGAATTTACAGGAAGCAACGTCCTGACCAATCACAAGCTTGCGGTCTCCATGTCTTTCGACGGATATTTAAAACTTTGGGCATGTCTCCGTCACCCTCTGTGTGTTGTTGCGTGTATCCGCACAGACACATACGGAGAGGTATAGATTAGGCTTAAATATAACTGCTGACATGCGTCCCCAGCCTTTATTAGTTTCTACAGGAGTGATTCTTCACTAAATCAAACAAATCAGCTATGTTCATGATCTAAAACATGCAGGAAACATGCTGGAAGCAGACTCCAGCTCCATTGCGTCAGCTCCATTCAACTCTACAGCTCCTTCCAGCAGCAGGGAGTGGATCGACAACTCCAAAGTTGCAAGTACGATATTCTGGCCACAGAGGGTGGTGGGGGTCTGAGTAAAGGGTTATATGAAAACATCGCAAGCACCCATTTAACCATGATATTTATTAGTTTTGTTGTTCTGCTTGTGTTGTTCCCATCTTGTCCACCAACCCCCTTTTCCCTCTTCTAATTCTGTTTTGTTTGTTTGTAATTCTCCCTGATTGTCCACTCTGTTGGCTAAGCAAAAGTGTCCTATAAGCTACAATTACAAAAAAGTCAACAGTCCAATGAGACAGGTATCTCACACTTTTTCTGTTGTAGGGTAAAAATGTTCTGGCATAGTATAGCACCCAGACCAACCATTTTGTTTGCTTCCACTTGAGAATGGGACAAGTTAAACAATAAATGAATACCTTTTTGGTGGGGAAGGTGTTCTCAAAGCAAGATCCAGGTGGGCAGCACCCAGCCCCCTCTGAGAAAATTAGGTCTACTTGTGATGATTTTACAAGACCACTACTTCCTCTTTGGCATTTTGAAGCCAAGAACTTCATTGGGGGAAGTGGGAGGGGTGGGGGTGCTCCCTGCTCTCACCCAACTTTTTCTGAGATCCATTACCTTTTTTTTTAAATAGAATTTCATTGTTTAAATTTTCCCTTTTCTTGCAGCACACTTTCCCACCACATCATCTAAATCACATTTGCGTTCAACCTCGACTCCAAGGCCATTTGAGCATTTCTTTCTTCATGGAGAATGATGATGGGTGGCAGATTTGACATGGTTTCCCTTGACCTTGACCTCTGAGGTGACTGGGCCAGGTGCCACATCTGGCCCTGACTTAGGGTTCTCTCATGGTGCCTGGGAAATAGGAAGACCTAGCCTTGTAAGCCAAGGGGCCCTCCTGCCACCCCAAGTCCCAGTGTTAGAGGAGGAATGGACGAGGACACCCAGAAGGCAGATGAAGCAAGTTTTGTGAAAAAACAAAATACAGACATGTACATGGTTTTGCAATATTAAGTAACTTATTTATATATATATATATATATATATATATATTTTTTTTTTATATATATATATATTTTTTTTTATATATATATATATGTATATATATATATATATATGTGTGTGTGTGTGTGTGTGTGTGTGTGTGTGTGTGTGTGTATTCTAGCAGGTTAAAGCTGCAATGGCAAATTTGGAAAACAAATTAGCTTAAAACGTTTTTTTTTCACAACTCTTAAAGGTGCATTATATAGAAATGAAGTAAAAATGACACCCCGTGGTAAAATTTGGTTACTGCGACCACTTTAAACAACTTTGGAGCTTTTTGACGGTTGTCATCAAATTAAAATTGTCGGCCCTGCAGTGTTAGCTCACAGAAGACACAGCAACCCCACACTCACTGATGCTAAATAGTAATGTCCCTCCTTCTTTTGTTTTAAAAGGAGATAAATTGACAACCCCCACAACCGGCTAGATTTCAAATGTGTTTCAGTACAACCTTTCTTCCAAAATGACTGAAACATTAGACTCTTTTGGGATTTTCTCAATGTAAATATCTCACTATATTCTCACATACTGTACCTGTAACGTTCTAACATGGTATAAGCTGTAAAAGCAATGTGGAAATAAAAAACAAAATACATTTTTAAAAAATTATGAAGTGGTTCTCTCATTTGTCTAAAAATCTCCGCCAAAAACATGTTTCACAGTGAAAGCAACTACTAGACCACCCAGTTGTCCGTCTCACCAACCCTGGGTGCTCCATTCATTATGTACTTGCGTATTTAGCAACAGAATACCACTGGTGTGAGAGGTTTTCGGCTTAATAATAACAAAAAAGGAGAACCTGCCCGTCGCTACCCCTTCAACTTTAGGACAAACTACCAGAGTCTCAAAAAGAAAAACACCATCTGAAGTCACGGACAACAAAAGACGTTTGGACATAGAACAGCAATTGGTGTTTAACACTCTCTTGTTTCATCCAGCATAGCAGGTTTGCAGCAGAAGCATCTCAGGGAATATACCTGAGTGTTCAGAGACCGTGTTTGCGTAAAAAATCTAGTTTGTTTGCTAATCGTTATAACAGCTTCAAAATTACATCCAAAAAAACTTTTCAATGCTGCAAATCCACAACTTGAGTGACCATTAACAAAAATATAAGTAACATGTTTCAAATCATCAGCAATAAAGTAAAAGAAAGAAACGGAGCAAAAGAGGACAAAATAAGTTGGAAAGTCAACACTGTTAGCATCAAATAGCAGCCCTCAGATTCTAACTACTTTTGATCAGTTGCTGACATTTCTCAGGCCCGTTGTTCTATTATATTGTTCTTCCGTTTTGGTACAAAGAACTTTTATTTTGCTTAGTGTCCATATCTTTTGCCAAAACATTAACCGTGGGTAGAACAGCTTGTTCTTTGCAAAGAGCCAACAATAACTGAAAATAAAAGACAAACTTTGCAAATCTGCTGTGTTTTGAACAATGTGATCTGAGCTGGTCATGGAGTAGAGAAGCGCCTTCAGTTTGCATCTACCACCAAGAGATGAAGAAAAGCTGAGGCTTTGGGAAAACGATCCAAACATTAACAGTCTATCAAAGCAAATCTGTATGTGCTCACTTTGTTGGAAAACTAACACGTTTTGAAAAAAAAAGTGTTTTGTGTGTTTTAAAACAACAAGTCGTGGAAGGGTTGGGAGCAGAAAACAGTCAAATAGCTAGCATGCTAACACCTGTTAGCGTTGGTCCACGATTTTCAGCTGTTGATTAACATTTATCCAATGTTGCGTGAGATGATAGTAGCACATTGGATTAAAAAGAACATCCAATTGTAATCTTTGTGGCAAACAACTACAGATCTAATACCTAACAACCTCATATTTGTTTTGTCACGGTCCTTGCTGGGCTCTGTGGATATGTACCATGTAATGGGAATTTTATTGAAAAAAAGTCTTATTTTCGTAATGCTCCAATCTGATGTGTACAGATGCATTATGTACAATTTACTGGTTACTTAGCCTGGAAATCTAGATCGTTATGGCTGAAGCTAAATTATTTTGCTCAACATGATAGTATAGCCACGCTCTATTGGAACCTCCAAAGCCCCAGACTATCTGGTGTCAGTCCAGTCACAGTGCTCTATCTGTTTGGTGGGCTAATCACAACAGAAAAAAGATACTTAAGTCCTTTACTGAGACAGCAGTAGCTCAGGAAGTTGTCCAGCAATCAGAAGGTTGCTGGTTTGATCCTGGCTTCGACCAGAGAATGCTGCTGTTATTTCCTTGGGCAAGACACTTTACCTGCCTTCAGTGTTGCCAACTGTTTTTGACTGAAAGTAGCTGAAGTTCCCCCCAAAAGTCACTAGATGTCGCCACATGATGTCACGTGCTAATTTGCATATGACACAATGATGTCATCTGGATTGTGTGATGACGTCACCACGTTTGCGTCATGACGTCACCGGTCTTGTAGAGTAAATCAAATAAAATCCACGTGATTTTATTTTAAAAAAATATTTAATTTATTTTTTAATATTTTATTAAAATAAAAACCCCATAGAATACAAAACAGCAGCCTTTAAAACAGCAAGGAAAGATGGCACAAAAAAATGGAAGGAATATTTCTATTTTGTCTGGAGAGAATGGAACTCGTAAACACAAAAATATTAAATTGATAGGAATGTATGTCTGATTGAATCAAAATGAATTTTCTCTTGTAGTTATCAAGTGCCTTGAGATATATTCTTCTGTTGTGATTCAGTGCTATATATTGACCTAAAAGATAATATATATATATATATATATATATATATATATATATATATATATGTGTGTGTGTGTGTATACATAGTTTTTGTTTGGTTTTGTTGTTTTTGGTACTTTTGCATAAAAAGAAGCAGGCCGTATTTAGCATTCAGAAACGTTACATGCAAACTGCCAATGACCTGAGGTGTTTGTCTTACAGTATTATTCTGTTTTTTATAAAAGTTTTAAATGTGCTACGTTATTGAACTCATCATAGAGTTCCAATGTTCCTTGAATGCACCACAAGTGGAGCGAAAAGCCATGTGTGAGTGCGACGCTGCCTGCCAGTGCCAGCCGAGCTCAGCTGCCGAAATGCGGCATGATGGCGGAAGGAGCGGTCGCCCTTTATGTAGCTCCGGTGGCTATCTCAAATAATGGACTTGTGAAAACCCACAAAAGGTTTGATTGGTCAATGGGGGTAGCGTGATCATGCTGCATATACATGCGCAGATCATTTTCTTTCTGATCCTCTGGAAGGAAGGACGGTCCTGTCGCTTCAGATGCATCGCTAATCTGCAGGTAAAGTCTGCTACAAAGCTGTAGTCAAAGTAGCTGAGGGGGGTCAGAAATGTCACCAGATTTGTCGCTAGGCGCTTTCTTGAAAAAAAAAGTCATTAAGGGGGTCTGAAAAGTCCTTAGAAATGGTGACAAAGTCGCTAAGTTGGCAACACTGCCTGCCTTGTCTGCTGGTGGTGACCGGAGGGACCAGTGACTCCAGTGTTCGGCAGACCTCGCCTCTGTCAGTGCACAAAAGAGAAGCTGTGGCTACATTGTAGTTCATCACCATGAGAGTGTAAATGAGTAGATGACTGATTATGTTGTGAAGTGCCTTGGGGTTTTGTAGAAACCTGAGAAGACACTATAAAAATACTGGCCAATGACCATTTTTATTTAGAAAAAGGATGTTTTTGCATCTTCTTGTATGGTCGGCTGCCCCACTGACTGACTCCGTAGCAGTGAGTAAGTCAGGTTCTTTGTTGCCAAATAACAAGCAGAGATAGTTTGAAAGACAACTGTAGATCCCGCCCTACAAATGAGGTCCATCAATGGGTCGTGGCCAGACTATATATTCACATATGGCTTGCCAGGCTACTGGTTACTGGCAGTAAACATTCATTTTGTTTAAGCTAGTAAAAACCCCAGGAAGAAATAGATGGCTTATATACATGTTAAAAGATGTTTAAAAAAACGGTGTGATGCAAACAGATGCTGGCCAAAGGTCAGTAATTAATAAGTTGGGTGAGAAAATTTTCCAGATTTTGTTACCTAGTTATGTGAGCATTTTTTTATAAAACATAATAAACAGGAGAATAAATTGCTCGGGAATGCTATTAGAAAGTTTATAATAATGATCGTTAACCCATCTAAGAAAACTAACAGTAGGTTTTTTAGCTGTTTCTAATAGAAACATCTACATGTATAGTTGTGAAACAACTGCAGAAAGAAATCTGGTAAATCTGTCTGCATCTATGAAAAAGACCAAAAGGAGTTTCTCTACGTGAATTACTAACGCAGAGATTTGTGGTTAGCAGTGGATAACACGGACCATCAGCTATGGAGACAAACATCAATCATGACACACGCAAGTCACGTAGTGGGCAAGCTGTTGCCAAACTCTAAGTAGCAAACAGGGGTAAAGGCCTGGGAGCAATCTCAGCTTACCCAAGACTTTTAGACAGAAAAACACACAGGCACATTCATAAAAAATGTCTCAGAGAGGCCAAGTCGATCCAAAAAAAAAGAAAAAAAATTCTTTCCAAACTACATTGGGGGCTACAAAAAGGGTCTCGCATAGGAAACCCCACAGAGAGGCATGCTCCAGAGCCCCTCCCTTCTGAAAATCCAGCTAACAGCTTGCAACCATTAAGGGGAGATCCTGTGGTGACCTTACGTGCAGCGGTTCCTTGCACCTTCAAAGGCCCTGGGGTGGAATAATACAAAGCAAGTCATCCAAAACTCCTTAATACACAAATCATTACCAAAACAAAGGCTAAAATAGGGCTCCTCTCGTTTGCTGGGAAGAAATGTAAAGATAAATGTCAGGAGTTATGTTATATAAAACTGGAGTTTAAAAAAAAGCGAAGAGTTTGTTTTTTGTCCTAGCAGGACCCTGACATACTTCTGTAGTATTTCCCCAACACTGCAACACATTATAACACTCTAAGCCAAGTTTAAATGAGAGAAAAAAACTAATGCCCAAAAATGTTTGAAACAAACAAAAAAAGTACCATTCAAGTATGTGTAATTACAATGTCACAGTATAAAGACAGCAATTGTTGACATTTCACTAATCTGCTAAAAGTCCAGTTTATAAAATAAATTAATTAAAATCTAACACCAAAATGTTCGCCAAATGGTAGAAAGTAATACAAATACAAAAACTAATAAAAACCACCCAAATATAACCCTTTCTTAGTCTTATCACAATTTGTAAATTTAGACTTTTTGGCAAACATTTGTCCAAAACATTCATTTAATTTGTAAGTTCAAAACTGTTCTTATAAACACAAATAAAACACTAAAAGTACAAAATATTTTAATAAATGTCCCATGCCTTTATGTGACACTGCAATGCTACCAACAAAATCCAGTAAAAACAAAAACATATGGAGCTTTTTTTAGAAAACTTCAAAGCTGACAACAGTAAACACAAGAAGAGGACACATTTCTGGGTTAGTAATAGAGGTCGACCAATATTTGTTTTTCTATTCCCGACATGTAGGAGACATGGTTAGCCAATGTGTACTACTGCCTATTTCATGGCTGATATCTAGACGTTTTTCACCTAATTTTCATGCCAAATTGTCGGTTAAATTCAGAGTTCAAAATCTGGTTCAGCTGATATTATTACTAACTGTTGAATCTCAACTTTGTGCTAAAGTCAGACACCTAAAAAAAGAGTATTTACTATGTAGATGTTATTAATGAACGTAAAAATACATCTGAATTACATTCTGCAACCGCGCTGGGCTCCCTGAGGAGGTGCCTTACTTTAAATCTGCTTTACTAAGGACAAGCATCGGCCAGTGTTGGTAAATATTGGTCTGATATATCGGTCTACCCCTAGTTAGTAGGTTAAAGACAGGGCTTTAATAGCTGCTTTCTGCTAGTGGAGGTCAGAAAAATTTCTTGGAGGAGTGAAGATGACAAGAAAAATGCAATGACTCGGTGTTTTCAGCTGTTGTGTCTCCGATCAAAATCAGCCCTTTAAAGACTTTGCTAGAACATCAGCAGATTGCGACCATTCCGTCAGTGAGTGACATCACTGATCAGTGCCAAAAGACATTCATGGACATTAATAATAGGGATGCACCGATGCCGATACTGGTATCGGGCATCGGTATCTGTGCTGATACGATACCGATAACCATATTGGTATTGGTAAAAGTTAACCGATACCAGGAACCGATACCAATGCAGTTGCTTGAAAATGGCTACACTGTAACTTGTCATTTCTGTTCACCTAATATTTTAGTTTTGTGATGCTTTCTATTAATATATTTTACTTTTTTATCTTGCTGTAATCACAGTCTTTTCCTGTTGAAAGTAGAGAAAAAACTAAAATCTGTATTCCTTTCTTTTTTTTTTTTTTACCGTGTCGTGTCTGGCTGTGAAGCAAACAGAATTGATATCTGAATGCTGGTAACAAGCCTTACAGATTTACTCTCAGGTGGAGCATCAAAGCGTCTACTTTTAATGTCACGCCTGATACTTAAAACTTTATTGTTATTGTTTTTGAATGCTTTGTAATTTCGACCAGACACGGAGACAGAGGTGAAAGAGAAAGGAAAAGACAAAAGGTGGGAAGAGAGGGAGGAAGGGGGTGGGGGTCCACAAAAATAAACAATAATGAACAAGAGTCTGCTTCTAGACCTGCAGAAAGAGAAAGAGCAGAAAAAAATACATCAGGAGCAAGCTATCACTGCGTCAGCCTAATGATGAAATATAAAATCAACATTGTTTAACTGAACAATCACACGATAGTAAATCATAGTGCATTTAGTGGCAACGACAGCCTTAAGGCAAGTGTTAAATGTGCCCAAGCCCATACATTTGAGAGCACCATGTGAGCACCTGTGTGTGTACACGCGCTTGTTTATGTAAGGTTTCTCTATAGGAGCGTCCAATAGAGAGTGTGAAGGACCACAAATCTGCCCCTCAATGATGTGTAGGAGACGGGGGGAGCTCCAAGTCCCAGAGATCCAGGCGCTGCCCCAGAACACAGGAACCCCAAGGAGACTGCAACCAGAAAGGCCCCCGCCCCCCTCGAGAGGCACAGAGAATCGCCCCGGGGGGCCACAACCAGCAGCCGGCAGAGTCCCGGGAGATATCAGCGGCAAGCCCACAGGCCCGCCCGTAGCCTCCCACCCCCTAGCCGGCCGAGCCCGGGATCCAGCGACCCAGGACCCAGGGGCGACACCACCCCCACCGGGGACCCAGCAGAGCCCAGCGAACGGGACACCACCAGGCAGCCACCGGGATAGATCAAGCAGACGCCAAAAATCTTAAACCTGACCCGTGAGCCACAAACACTCAGGCAGACTAAGGCATCACACCCCACACCAGGTGTGGCAGGGGGAGGGGAGACGAAGATCTATATCGTCAAAAGAAGTCCCAGGAGAGGGGAGGAGTCAAAGGCCCCACCTGACATATACAGTCATACACAAACACAGTCACACACTCCCTCTCTCATGCTCACACATGCACATACAACCAAAGACTTACAAAAATGCACGCCGGACAACCACTCATGCTCCCCATACACACCCTATTCACTCTGGTCCCGGTACTGCTGCACATTGGGTACAACCATCACCGGTTACCAGAGTTTGACCCTTTCTGCTGGGGTGCTGATGAGCAGGCTCCCCCGCCCAAAGCTGAGCACAGCAACCCACCACCCCAGACCCCAGCCAGACGGCCAGATCTCCCTCCTAGCCTCCAGCCCCAGGAAGCCAAGCAACACCAGAGGTGTGCTAAGACCCCTAGGCTCCCTCCGCCTGCTCCATTATAGTGTTGTGCGTTGATGAGGTGTATTCCATGGCTGTGGTGAGCGGGCAGTGCGGGCATTGTCTGGCCTATGCCAGCTGATGCCACCGCACCACCCCACTTGCACCCACAGCCCTCGGTGTCTAAGTGCAGTTTAAAATTGGAAGTGGGCACCGGCACTCGGGAGGAGGCTGAGAAATCCCCCTGCCAAGTGCCGTTGAATGTGCTCACTCCCAAGGCCCTAAGTCTGTGTTTGCGTGGAATGTCGTCGGTGGAAGTGTCTAAGGTGCAAATAAAATTGGGGGGCAGGTTGCCACAGCAATGCGGAAATGGGGTCCTTACCCGCACTCCCTGACTTGTCCACCCCCCAAGGTCCTATGTGCATGTTTGTGTGAATATGTGAGGGAGCAGGAGGAGAAATATGTGGGGATGGGGAGGAATGGCTGGTTGGGCTTAGCCCTCCAGGAAGCCAGCTCCCCCACTGGCCTCAATAGGCACCTCTGTTGTCAAATTGCCACCCAGGGCATGGAGAT